CACACACACACACACACACACACACACACACACACACACACACACACTGTAAGTGTTTGAGTGTTTTGCTTGCATGTAATCATGTGACTGATGCCTACAGAGGCCAAAGGAAGATCAGATCCCCTGGAACTTGACTTACAAACAGTTGTCAGTCATTGTGTGGGGGCTGGAAACCAAAACTGGGTCCTGGGTCCTCTTTAAGACCAGTTAATACTAATACTTTTTTTTAAAAAAGATTTATTTAATTTATTACATATATAGTGTTCTGCCTGCACTAGATCTCATCATAGATGGTTGTGAGGCACCATGTGGTTGCTGGGAATTGAAGTCAGGACCTTTGGAAGAACAGCCAGTGCTCTTAACCTCTGAGCCATCTCTCCAGCCCCAGTTAATACTCTTAATCACAGAGCTATCTCTCCAGCCCCCTGGAAAATTATGCTATTAAAAAAATACTGTAAAATTTATTTTTAATCATGGGCTGACCTGGAAGTCACTGTGTATCTTAGGGTGGCCTTGAACTTGTGACAATCATCCTGACTGGCATGAGCCATTAAACACAGCAAACTTCCATTTTGTTACCATGGAAATGGGAGTGATTTTAGTAATAACTGTATCTTTAAGGGTCTTAGTAAACACCGTCTAAGACAATGAAGATCCTAAGAAAATGACATTACTGACTGAATAGGAAGAGCATATTGCTAACATTTTGTTTAGTGTATATATTAGATCTTGTTTATGAGATAAACTCAGACAACAATAAAATTTTCAGGTGAAACCATGAAGCATGAGTCCTAAAGATTTTTTTCTTAGTATACACTGTTTGAGCAATTTTGAGTTCCTCGTGATGGAAATAAATTTTACAATCAGCTTGTTAATATATACAGAGACATCAGCCATTATTCTAATAAGATTATATTAAATATGTCGTTATTCTGATAAGATTATATTAAATGTGTAGTAAGTAATGGGAAGTTTTTTTGTTTTTTAAAAAATTTTGTTCAATTTGTTTGATTTTCAAATATAATTTTTGTACTTCTTGTGTTGGTTAATTTTTATCAACTTTATACAAAGTAGCATCACCTGGGAAGAAGGGACCTCAGATGAGGAATTGCCTCCATCTGCTTGGCCTGTAGACAAGTATGTGAGGCATTCTCTTGATTAATAATTGATGTTCCAGGGTCCAGGTCACCGAGGGTGGTGTCATCCCTGGGCAGGTGGTCCTGGGCGATGTGAGAAAACAAGCTAAGTCAAGAAAGCCAATAAGCCAGGGAGCTTTGATCTTCCAACAGAGGTTCTAGCCTCTATTCTTCCAGACTGCCCCCGACTTTCCTCAGTGGTGAGTTGTTACAGAGGCAGTAAGTCAATTAACCCTTTCCTCCCGAGCTGTTTTTTATTATGGTGTTATATCACCAAGAGACCAAGTTAGGATACGTCTTTTGTTAGCTCTAATCTACGCATTTGACTTTTTCATGCTTTTTGTGGGCGGGAGTTGTGAATGGGATTTGGTGACTTGTTTTATGTGTGTTTTTAGTTGTTTGATGTCCATAGACATGTAACTGATTTTGTGTATGTGTCTTGTATTCTGAAGCCTAGTTGTAATTACTTGTTAGTTCGGATCGTCTTAAAGTAGCTTCCATAGGAGTTCCCCTAAGTAAGTGCTTATCTGTAGATGAAGGAAGCTTTACTTTCTAGCTTAGATGCCTGCCACTCCCCTTTCTTGTTATTCACAGCCGATGGCTCACTTTCCTCACTAATTTCTTTTTCTTTTCTTTTTTTCTTTTCTTTTCTTTTCTCTTTTCTTCTTTTCCTTTTTTTTTTTTAATTTTCTGCAAGAAATGTGTCTTCATTTGTTGTGTGGCCTCAGGACCATTCCCAGAGACTGTAAACAATTGTTTTTAAAGTGACTTGACTTTGGCTCATTTGAATTGAAACTGGATTTGCATAGTTTAACAGTTTCTAATCCTAGACGCAAAGCTCTAGGTATTGCATTTAGATAGATTCCTAGACATAAAATGTTAACTTAAAAGAGTAAGTCTTCTTTTGACTTAACTCTGTGGCCATTTTCCTTCATGTTACATTTCCCTTCATGTTACAGCAGTGAGTACTTGGATTGTTTTACTTTTTAAGTTATGTTGAATAAATCTGCACAGGTGTTGAACACAAGACTCTGTGGGAATATACATGTCCACACCACCATGTCTCCACTCATGATGTTGTTCTCCGTCGCTCCTGGGGTTGTTGGCCATGCTCCTCAGGAACAAGAAAGCAGAAGGGATGAGCTGGGGATTCAGTCTCTTCTGGAACCAGCTTCAGGAAGGCAGATAAATTTTATTTGGGGTGAAGGAGTGTAATATAGAACTTTGGGGAGGGAGCGGGGACATGGGGGGGGGCAAAGAGTATTGGCTGAGATGCCTCATTTGCATGGGGAGGCATTCTAGGAATCCCAGGTGCTTGCTGAATGGGCAAAAGAGAGTTGGACTTGTAATTTCCCTAAGATCTACATTCTTCAGGTAGAGGGTGTGGGGATCCAGGCTCCCTGAAGCACAGAAGAGGAAGCCTCGAGGGGGGGGGGCTCCTCTATTTTGCGCCAGGCTCAGGGCTTTCTGATAATGGAGACTATGAACTTGGCAGCAGGGTTTCCCGGACACCATGATGCACTGAAACTGTCTAAAATCTTGACCTAGTGTCAATCTTTCCTCCCCTGAGGGCACTGTGCTTACCAGTGATGCAAAAGCAACAGCCATATCCTGCTTAGCAGCCTTTGCAGACTTGATGCTTGTGATGGTTGGCAGGTCCATTCCATTAGCTTTTATTTTTACACAGCAAATTTTACAAACATCATCTAATGTTTTAGAATTTTATATGTATGTTTGTGTGTGTATGTCAGGCGAGGGTGCATACAGTGGCCAGAAGAGACTGTTTAATCCTATAGGGCTGATGTTGGTGCTGGGAATACTACTCAGGTCTTAGGCAAGAGCAACAAGTGATATTTTTAGAAAATGTTTATTTTTATTCTATATGTATTAGCATTTTTTGCCTCTATGCATAAAGAGCATGTGTGTTTAGTACCCTTGGAGACCAGAGAAAGGCACTGGACCTCCTGGAATTGGATTTACATGTGGCTGTGGGTACCATATGGGCGCTGGGAACCGAACTGCATTCCTCTCTCTGTGAGCAGCCAGTGCTCTTAACTTCCGAGCTGTCTCCAGCTTAGAGAATATAATTTTTATTTATAGTTTTAGATGTGTTTCCAAAATCAATAGAATTTATTTTTAGAGTAGTTTATGGTCAGAGAAAAATTGAACAGGATGTACATAAAGTTAGCACAAAGCTCCTAAACTCCTTAGCATTAGAGTCTTAACACAGTATATTTGCTTCAGTCGATATGTCAACATTGGTGCGTTATTAACAAGCTCACAGTTTATATTGGAGCTCACTGAAGCGTGTATTCTTTGTGCTTTGTTGAACGTACAGTGACGTTTATCAGCTATCACAGCATTATACAGAAGAACCTGTGGATCCTCTTGCTAATCCCTGACAAACACTCATCTTTTCATAGTCCCCATATGTTCATCTTTCCCAGATTCTTATAGGAGTCATACAGATTGATTTTGTTGGTTTGGCAATATGCTTATAAGTTGGAAGTACGCAAGATTTTAATGCTATGAAAGCTCATTTTGAAGTAGTAATCGAGTAATATTCCATTGTGTAGATTTACCGGAGTTTGTTTTCCATTCATTCATTGAGGGCCATCTTTATTACCTCCAGGCTTTGGCAAGGATAAATAAAGCCATTTCAAACACTTCATGCAAGTTCTTGTGGAGCTCTTCTGCCTGAGAAGTCCAGCGTAGGATGTGAACCATTGCAAAGCATAGCAATGCAAAGGCATAGAGATGCAGAAAGTGTTGTCTCACTGTCCGTGGGCTTCTATTTATCCCTTCTCAGAGTCTATACAAGGATGTTTTCCAGCTCACAAAAAACCACACCACACCTCACATGAGGTGGTTTTCAGTTGACCAACATCACTTGCCTTTTCACCCGGGCTGTTTTCTGTGGATGCTGTTTTCCCACATCCTGCACTTGGGACCTAAACAAAAAAACAGTCATATAACACAACTGAGTTTCTGAAGAAACCAGAAAGTTCAGCTTCACGCAGAAATCCACCTGCCTTTGCCTCCCAAGTGCTGAGATTAATGGCATGAGCCACCACTGCCTGGCTTTTTTTTTTTTTTTTTTAAAGCTTTTATTTTTTCTTTGAGAACTTCATAAATGTACTTTGACCATACTATTCCTCTTCCATCTCCTTCCCTACTTACCCAATTCATATTCTCGCTCTCTTAAAGAACAAAAATAAAAACCCCTCAAGTTTACTACTCCTGGCCACGAGGCCTATCCGGGAGCGTGGTTGATACACTGGATGTCACTCTTTTGAAGAAAACTGACTTCCTTCCCACTGAATGACAATGGCTCTGCAGCTAGACATGAGATTTTGTGTCCACCTCCCTTCCTCCATGCTGGGGTTTTGTGTGGCTCATGTGTGACTCCTGTGCATGCTGTTGCAGGCTGTCATTTCAGGTGTGCAACTGTCCTGTTGTGTCTGGAAAACACTTTTGGTGAAGTCATCCCCTCTTCTGGCTCTTCCAGTCTTTCTGCCCCATCTTCTGCATAGATCTGTATACCTTGAGGGAAGAAATGTGATATAGATATCTCATTTAAGGCCGAGCGTTCTGATGTCTCTTATTCTCTGCAGCAGAGAATAAGGTTGAGTGGCTGTGGGTCTCTGTATTAATTAATCTCTATTCCAGGAAGAAGCTCCTCTGAAAAGCTGAGAAGTTGTGTTCTGAAGTCCTAACTTCAGTAACCAAAGAAACTTAAAAATAAAATTAAAAAAAAATCAAAGAAACTTAAAATTACAGCATCTATTAATAAAACAAATCAATATAATATATTCAACATGAGTTACATTTTCATGAGATATAAACATGGAATTAAAAAAATCAGTAAGGAACAAATTTATTAGGAAGTGATTTGATCCCCTTTAACTAAATACTGTTGTCATGGCCTTCCAGAAAGGATAGTGTGGTCGAAGTGTCTCAGAGAAATGGGAGTGAGTTGTTGTATGATTATCATGAGAAGCACAGAGCATTCTCTCTTTTTCTAAACACATCTCTCTTTACTTTCCAGTGTGCCAGGAAGCTATCTGGGAAGCCTTCAGGACATTTTGGGATAGACTTCCTGGGCGTGAGGAATATCGTTACTGGATGGACTTGTGTGAGGATGGGATCACAAGTGTATTTGAAATGGGCACACAGTTTAGTCAGTCTGTGGAGCATAGAAGCTTAATCATGAAGGTAAGCGTCGCAAAGAGAGAAAGAATTGTGGTGTTGTTGTAGGTGTAACTGTGCACGACTAAAGGCTAAAGGAAGAGAACGTGAATTGATTTAAGGTTTCTGAGTGGGCTGCCCCAGGTTATAGCTTAGTTTTTCGTCCCCAGCTCTGGCCTTCCATAATGAACACTGTTAATCCAGAAACAGCCTCAGCCTTGTTTATAGACGTAAATGCATTGAAATGATACTGTGCAAAAATTTAAAGATACGGATGTGTGTGAGTTAAGCACTGCTAATTCATTTATATGTTTATTTAGAATGGATCCCAGCCATTCTAATGAAGTTAGAGGATATAGTCCATGCAGCACATTTAGTGGAGTATGTGGTTTTCATTCAAGATTTGTTCTTATTTGTTTACCTGTGGGTGAGAGCATGCATGTGCCCCGGCATGCCTGTGGCCGGCAGAGCACAACTTCTTGGGTGTTGATTTTTCTCCTTTCATCTTGTTCTTGAGGCAAGTTCTCTGTTTTAGGTTTTGTTTTCCACACAAAATACGTGAACTTCTGGCTGATCCTCCTGTTTCTGTCTCCCATCCTGCCTTAGGAATGTGGGAGTTACAGACGCGTACCACTGTATGTGGCTCTTTAAACATGAGTTCTGTATTAGTCAGGTTTCTGGAGAGAAACAGAACTTCTAGAATGAGTCTGTGTATTAGAAAGGGATTTATTAGAGTGGGTTTGAGGCTGTGGTCTGGCTAGTCCAACAGTGGTTGTCTCCCCTCAGAGAGTCCAAGAATGCCACAGTTGTAAAGTCCCCAAAGCTAGATGTCTCAGCTGCTCTCTGTATTGGAATCCCAAAGATGTAGTTTCCAAAAGCAGCAAAAGAATGCTTCAGCATCAAGATAGATGAATTTGCCAATGGCCAGCAAGAGTGAGACAGGCAAAAAGACAGGCAAAAAGCAAAAATTCCCTTCTTTTATGTCCTCTTATAGGCTGCAATCAGTAGGTGTGGCCCAGGTTTAGGGTGGGTTTTCTGATCTCAAATGATCCAGGTTGGTCTTCCCACCTGAAGTTTTCTAATCAAGAAAAATCCCTGTCAGTTGTACCCAGCTGCTTGGGTTTTTAGCTAATTCCACACATAGACAACTTGACAACCAAGATTAGCTGCCATAAATGTGCAGATATTTAATGTGTCTCAAATGAACTCATCTCCTTACTATGATGGATCGCAGTTCAAGTCAAGATGCCGCATCGGCCTTTCCTCTGTCATAGTTTTAACTGCTCTGTTTTTAGCAATTAAAATAAATACTACATAGCCTATGCCTGCCATATCCTAGGTCTAATAAATAACAAGGTCTTCTCCATTTTGCAAATAAAGAAATAAATAATTTGCTTATCCTGTATTAAAATTTAATTGTAATGGATCCTAAAATCCAGAACCAGTTCTCATTTCCAAAATTTATATTCTTGGTTATGGATATTTCTCAGCAGCACAGAGCGTGGTAGCACGTGCAAGGCCCTATATTTGATCAGCACTACTGCAAAAACCAAACAGACTCACTCTCAAAGCATGTTTTCCTCCTGTGTTATGGGGCTTCTATTTCTAGTCATTATTGATTTTAAAGTTGCAATGGAGATACAGATCACATATACATATTTATAGCAGCATTGTATATTTCAAATTGTGCCCATAATATTGGATCAGCTATTAAAAGCAAGAAATATACACAGGAGTTATTAACTTAATAACAGTCTTGTGATGTTACAGTAAATGTGTTTCTTACAAGTGGGGCTTTAGTTTTAACTTTAAAGTCTGGGAAATAAGCTTTAATGATTATTTATGACTCAGATTAAGCAGGCAGTGTGCTGTCTGGCTTGAGTCTAAAGTGATAAATGCGAGTTGGCTGAGAAGGAGAGGAGGGACACGGCAGATGGAGGCAGAGTCAGACAGAGAAGGGGAGCGTTTGTGTTTGGCTCTGTGGATTACGGGAAACATTTCAGCATAGTAAGGGAATAAGACAAAGGAGCTGGCCTAAAAGCTTGGCATTAAAAATTTACATTTATTTCTTATCTATTTATTTATTGAGAGACAGAGAGCAAAAGAGAGGACAAGAGAGAAGACAGGGATACTATAGCACACGTGTGGAGGGCAAAGGACAATGTGTAGGAATCACCTCTCTCCTTCTACCCTGTAGACCCCAGATATCACACTCAGTCATTAGGCACAGCAGGAAGTGCCTTTACCTGCCAAGCCCTCTCTCTGGCCCTGTGTTAAACTCTTAAAGGTCATTATGGTTTTATACACATGAGAAGGGTAACAGAGAATCAGATGACAGAGAGACCAGGCAGGAAGTCATGGGCCTTCCATGTCTGAGAGGATGAGGCTCCTAACCAGACCATGGGACGGAGAAAGGGAACATGATGCATAAAAGTAAGAAGCAGGATTTATGGGGGTTCGGATGGATTGGATGGTTGTGTTGGAAACCTAGTTTCTAGTGGGAGTCAGGAACTCAGGCAGTAAAGCTAATTTGCAGATGAGGCAAGAAGGATGGATTCACTTTTGAAGTGTTTTTTTGAGCTGCTTGTGAGAAATGTGAGTTGTTTGATATTTTGGTATGAAGTGAAGGAGGGTGGTCTGGGTTTTAAATATAGAATTATTCACCAGCTTTGAGTTAGTAACTGAAAGTATGAAGGCAGCAGATTATTTTGGGAGAGACCATAGAGTAAGAAAAGCAGCCAATTATTTAACCATATCGAAAACCAATCCCTGGTAATAGAAAGGATGTGGGTTTGTGTTTATAGATAAGAAGGAAAAATGGGGACTTGAAACTCTATCTTCTGAGTCCACCCTAGTATTTTGTGCATCTTCTTATTTGCTTTTTGAAATAAGAGTGCATAGTAACATTAGGCTACATAAACAGACACAGTATGCTAGGATGCTCACACAGCTGTAGAACAAACTTGGTATTGTAAATTCCTGCTTTCATTATTTGTTTGTCCCTAGAGAGCAGTGGCGTAGCTTCTACCATGTTAGGGCATTGGTGACCTTGGTGGAGTGAGTTTTGTTCACTGTGTAATCACTGTTGTTAACTCAGTCATTGTGTCTTTGTTTTCCTTAGAAATTGACTTACACAAAAGAAGCTGCAGGCAGGTATGTCTTTCCTCCAAATTCAGTTTGGCAACATAAATGTGCCGCATGGATTCCCAACACTTACCCTGTATCCTTTTTCTATTTTCTTTTAGCATCTGCAAGGACCAAGTCTGTGGGTAAGTCCAAAATGCTATTTCTCTTGAGGCCATCCCTCTCTCTCAGATATCACCATGGCCACTGCGCTTATTCACAGTCTGACCTTACCAGAAGGATGACTCATTCCTCTCTTGGATAATTTAAGGAATGTCTGCCTTATCAAAAATGATCTACTGTTACTGAGGTTAAAGGCTAATGATAAAGCTGAAAAGGTTTACTTTAGGGGGATTATTGTGTTAAGTGATGGATGGTTGTTTGGATTGCCTTCTTGACTTTATGACTTTGGTCTTGAAACAAGAATAGTACACCCTTGATTAATCTGTCAGGAGGCATCTTGGCTGGCCACTAAGCACAGGACTGAGATGATTTCTGGCTTCTAAGCAGTGGTAATATAAAGCAGGCTGCAAAAGGTGAGGAATAGTGAGTGACTAAAGTTTGAATTCTAACCATCCTCAGACTATCCATAGTATACATAAGATGTATGAGATTACATAAGACATCAGCAGTAGATTCAAAAATTAACTAAACAAGCCAGTATCCAGACACCCAGCTTCCATGACAAAATCCAGACATAGTTGGAGTACACACACAGGAGCTTTTGAATAACACGTGGTAGAGAGTGGAAACAAAAAGCATGCACAGGCCGAACTTGCACCGCCCCCTGACTCTTACACATATGTAGCAGAAGTGAAGCTTGATTAACATACGGGTCACCTAACAATGGGAGAGGGGACTGTCTCTGACTCTGTTGGCTGTCTTTGGATACCTTTCCTCTTGCCTGGGAGCTGCCTTGTCAAGTTTCAGTGGGAGAAGATTCCCTTAGTGGGTTGGTCCTTCTTGGGGGCCTCCCTTTTCCTGAGAAGGAGAAGAGGAATGGGGAGAGGGTGCATGACAATGGGACTGGGAGGAGAGAAAGGAGGGGGACTAGGATCAGGCCCTAAAGTGATTAAATAAATGAGTAAATAAATAAATGAATGAATAAATAAATTCATAAATAAATACATCAATAAATAAATGAAAAAAGAAAAAGAAAAAGAGTGGAACTCTGTGGCCTTGGCCACCCCTATGTTTCATGATGCTACAGGCACATATTTGGGTAGGCTGTTTGGATTACTTTCTTGACTTTATGGTTATGGTCTTGAAACAAGAATAGTACACCTTTGATCTCTTCCTGCTCACTACAGCGTGTCTTTCTGATAAACACTGTATCACAATACATATTCTTATTTTATCCCTTTCTTCCTGTGAGTAACTCCTTAGTAATGTTCTCTATTTGTGAAACTTTGGTTCTAAAGAGAGAGCTAGAAAAACCAACTTCTCCATGTCCACAATCTGTTGGACAGCTTCTCTTCTTCATTTAAGTGCCCAGGTCTCTCACTCGCTTGCTTTTTTTTTTTTTTTTTAAATTCTATAGTAATATGCCATTTATTTTTAAATACACTAAAAAGTTTATTTGAGAGTTTCATCCTTATATCATATATACTACATTTCTTGATCATATCCACTTTTTACTTCCCTATCCAGCTCTCCCTGTATCCTTTCCAACACCTCCACCCCCTTCCAAAATTTTTGTTTTTTTTTCTTTCCTGCTGTTCTGCTAGTGCTGCCTTTTGCACATGGTTGTGTGGGCATCTGTAGGAGCATGGGCAGCTACTAATGGCCACACCCCAAAGAAGAATGAATATTCCTCTCCCAGCTGCCTCATTGCCCATGCCTTTTCTTTTACTTCCAGTTATCTCTTTCTTTGCCTATTCTTTCATACTTCCCCAATTCATGGACCAAGAAACACTTCTTTCAGCACAATGTTTACTGGTAGGTCTCTCTGCCACCAATCTGAACCACTTGCTATTATATACTCTGGCCAAAGAGCTTTCAGAATACAAGACAGGACCATGTCTCTCCCTTCTGCAAGACAAGTGACTAGTTCCTTGTTGCCCTTAAAAGATCAAGATGAAACTGGCTCATATGGTTCTTCAAAATCAGGCCTGTGCCTAACTCTCCAGATTAAGCTGTTTCCCCAAATTATGAGCATTTACTATGTGTGTGTGTGTGTGTGTGTGTGTATGTATATATATATATATATATTTAAATTGTTTCTTCATATAATTTAGATATATACATATATATGTGTATATATGTATACATGTATATATATACATACATACATACGTATATATATGTGTATATGTATATATGTATACATGTATATATATACACATATATATATGTGTGTATATATCTAAATTATATGAAGAAACAGTTTAAATAACTCCAGACAAACCCAGCTGAATATATAGTGCATTTAGGTTTTAGGTACAGACTCATCTAAGTTTCAAGAATCAGATTATGATCGCTGGTAAAACTGCCCTTCCCTGTGTAAAGTATTTATTCATTTTAATTACCACAGCAGCAACACAAACTGTAGTAAGCTCACATGAGCCTAAATATGAAGAATGTAATTTCATGAAACACCTAAAGTCCGTCTCTACCTGTATAGCCCACCATGCAAGCTTTTAGCAGCCTTCCGTAGGATCTCAGAAATGTGACGGACTCATTTCTATAACCTCATAGAGGGAAGAGGCTTTATTTTACAATTTCTTGTAACCTCCCGATTACCCAGCACCAATATTATCAACATGCCCAGCATATATTAATTTTGTTGATTTTTGTTTGATCAACCAGACCAAAATCAATATGTATTTGTGCTGTGCATGCGTATGTACGTGTGTGTTTGAGAGAGTATATCCATGCATGCACACAAAGAGAAGGAAGATAAATTAACTTACTAGAATAACTTCTGTTATATTTTATTAATTCTGCGTTATGGTGTGCTCAAGCTGCCAACACCGTGTATTTTGGAAAGGCCATGGTTTCTGCATTAAATAATCATGGATATCACAACACACATTTTATCCCAGTTTGGTTCTGTGTCACTACGCTCCAGAGATGACATGGTATTCCTCCAACTGCATTTCAGACATTGTTAGATGTCAGCATTCAAAGAGGAACATTGTAGGTTTGTTTTTTATCCATGCTGGGGGTAGATTTTTTTTCTTTTTTTCTTTTTTCTTTTTTACACCACACACTGAGAAATCCGTGAGTACAGTACCTTTGAAATGGACTAGACAAGGGGGAATTAAAGTGGTTCCCAACCTGTAGGCCACGATCCCCTTGGGGGTGGGTGTCACATATCAGCTACCCTGCATAGCAGATACTTACATCACGATTCATGACAGCAGCAAATTTACTGTTATGAAATAGCAACTGTATTAAAGGGCCCCAGTATTCGGGAGGTTGAGAACCACCGAGTAAAGGCCTCTGAGCTGCCTGAAACGGAACCGGTTTTGTTTGGCTTGGCCTGGCTTGACCAGATCACTCTGTGACTTGCATTCTACTGAACTGTAGACTCAGACTGTGCCATCCTGTTTGCGCCAGCTAGAAACAAATACCTGCATTCTCTCTTTGCCCAAGTCTAAAGAAAAATTTTGAAGAGAAAGACAAACAATGATTCTGTCTGTATGAAAGAAAGAGTCTGTATTATAAAACTTGGCTTGTAACGCAGCCCATGAGGAGCTACACTGGCACTGTACACGTTGGCACACACATGTCCCTCCTGTGGTGAGGCAGTTCACTCTGACTTTGGGGAATTTGACTCCCCATTGTTACAATAATTAATAGTTATTAGTCATTATTTGTTCTGTCTGTGGCAGGAAGGTAACTGAGAAGGAATTTCCTATGGATAATGGATGGACCAGGTTTGCTTATGCTGATATGTGTTCTAAGTGCATCGGAACCTCATTTTATTCCCCCCACAATCTGCAACCCAAGATGCCTCTTGATGTTTTCTTATTATTGAGGCCTTCCTGTACTTATCTAAATGACTCGTCCAGATGCTGGATTGCTTTACGTTCTAGTGATTGCTCATTCAGTCACTAATGTCATTCAGAAGTGTTCTAAAAAACCAGTAATGATAGCCTGGGTGTAATGATGCATTGAGTTACTCTTTTTAGATGGTATTTTTAATTTTTATTTCTGTTTTATTATTATATGTTAAAGTTTATTCAATTTGTATCCTGGCTGTGGCCCCCTCCCTCATCCCCTCCCAATCCCACCCTCCCTTCCTCTTTTCCCCCTATGTCCCTCCCCTAGTCCACTGATAGGGGAGGTCTTAGATGGTATTTTTTTTTTAAACTGGAAGGTGAGATTTCTGGTGAGATACTTCAAAAATCTGTTTACCTCATGTTTCTACAAATGCCTGGGGGTGTAGAGAGCATGCCTCTGCTTTACTGGCCTAGTCTAGCCTCAGTCACATATGTCTTTCACTTACCAGGATCCACCCTAATGTTCCCTTAAATCTTAACACTGAGTGCTGTGATTGCAGGCATAAGCCACCATACCTATTTAATGTAGTGCCGGATAGTGAGCCAGGGGCTTCATGCATGCTAGGCAAGCATGCTACCCAATGAATTTCATCCCTAGTCATGCAAAAAGTCTTTTTAAAGTTCTTAGACATTGGAGAGAGAGAAGGATATGGCAGGGCAATCCTTAATCTCGTGGAGTTCACGAGATTAATTATAATAATAATTTATTATTATTCCTCTTTCCCTCTTGTGGGAGAGATTGATATTCAGGCTGGGACCTTATACATGCTAGGCATAGGCTTTTCCACTGACCTGTAGTCTCAGCCTGGAGATTAGATTCTTAATGCGATTCTCTTAAGCAACTAGACCCTTCTGTGATGCTGCCAGCGCTCTTAATTGTCTTGTCCAGTCTGAAGGCCATTAGCCATCTCTGAGCCCTGAATACTCAGGGTGTGGCTTCCATGAGCAATGAACTAAGGTTCTAGCTGTTTTAATTTCAATTAATTTAAATATCTGACTGTTCAATGCTTCTGTATTGATAATACATTCTAGAGGATTAAGGGGGTGGGGACAGAGATAATTATTGGAACTGAAGAGGAAAAAAATGGGTGATGAGTTGTAACTAGGAAGGTTCTTTATATAGGGTAGCTATGTTGATGAGGCATCAACAGATACAAAATAAGTAAGTTATGATGTTATAATTTTTTTTTTTTACTTTACACCTTGGTGTCTTGGTTTAGAAACCTTTATTTGGTGGAGTAATGAGTTCCTTTGTAGACCCAAGTTCCAAATTTTATAATACTTGGCCAGGTTTCTGTAATTTTTAATAGCTCCATATTTTTTTTTCCTCCTAGGCCTGACTTGTCAGCTCTAGTTCCTATTGGTGATACCTCAACATTGGGAGGTAAGCTTTTTTGCCTTTATTCATTTTTATTCCTTAGTCATTGAAGATTTAAGACAAATTTTCAAGCAAGTATTAAGTTTTCAGCTCATTTTAAAAATAGTGGTTTATGTATTTCTATATTGTTTCAGAAACAAAACAATTATATTTTCACTTGGTTTATGATATTATACTGTGAGTACTTTAAAATTCAGATCAGCTTAAAACATGAATGTGACAGTGGATGACTTTAAGGCAGACACTGAAGTTGAGGGTAGACTCTCTGTGTTGTCACCTTATGTTACTTTCCTGGACTTTCCCAATAGAAGGATTTTCTGATATATCCTGGGGTGTAGAATGTGTTCCTTTGAGCTCTACAGTCTTTTTTAAGTTTAAAAGATTTTAATTTTTTAAAATTTAATCCCCCCCCCTTTTGTGTGTGTGTGTGTGTGTGTGTGTGTGTGCGCGTGCCTGGGAGGCCAGAATAGGGCATCACACCAAAAACAGTGTCAAATCACCAGGATTAAAGTTACAGGCTGCCTGATGTGGGCATTAGGAACTAAACTACTGTCATCTGGAAAAACAGGAAGTACTCTTAACTGTTGATCCATCTCTCCATCTCTCCCAAGTTCTGTATTTCATGTAAATTAGTCAGTAATTCTCTCCCCACCTCTTCCTGTCTTCTCTCTCTTCTCTTTTTTTCATTCTCTCTTCTTTCTTCTTGCTGGGGATTGAACCCAAAGGCTTCTTTCAGGCCAGGGAGGTTCTCTAGCAAGGGCTGCAACAAGCCCTTATTAATTTTAAGAAAAGGCATAAGCTTCTCTGTGTTAGAAATTTTGAGCAGATAAGATGATATAATTGCACGATGTGGCTCCATTTCAATGATTGTTAAACAATGGCCAAGCTATAATTTCACAAGTCTAGTGTAGTTACACACCTCAGCATTTGTTCCCTTTACTAGATAGCTCCCTAGAAACAGAAACATTCTTTTTGTACCCTAGCATCTATATTAGAGCCTGGCACACTCAAAACAAACAAACAAACAAACAAACAAACAAACAAACAAACAAACACTTGTTCAGTGAGCCATAATTATTGAGATTTTAGAGTGCATCTACAAATGTCTCTTGAACTTATAACTAAAAAAGCCTTCAGTATAAAAAAGAGCAAAAGACTTGAAAGAATGGCATTTGAAGTAAGTCCTTAATTCCTGACAGGAAGTCTGGTTTACTCAAGGACCGGTGTCACACATGTTTTGTTTTCTGCTTAGGTGCTGTTTCTAGTGCTTCATATCCAGAGGTGGCTGCAGAGAGCAGCGTGATGTCACCAGAGGAGAGCGTAAGTCCAGCTCTGTTCTGTTGCTTTCTAACACGGAGGATGAGCTTAACAGGATTTATATTCCATTTCGAGACGGCACAGGACTTTACATGGTACACTGCTCTGGAAATATTACGAATTATAATTCTAGAACATTCAGAAATCTGATATCCTGTGGAAGAATTGAATAGGTCTGTCATAGTGGTAAATTGTTGGTAGAGAATTTCTGTTCTGGGAAATGCTTTTTGTAATAAACCTGTGATCTTCAAACCCTCAGTAGATTGGGCCTTAGCTTCTTTAGAGAGAGAGGAAATGGATTTTATGAGTTTAAAATTAAAAAAGTGATCCCACCTTCTAAGCACACAGTTATTAGTAGGAGCTTGTCTACCGAACAACACTAAATTCTACAAATGAGGGTCCACTACCAAAAATCACAGGGTAAGTACAGAATGATACCTACCCAGGCAGGTGGAAGCATTTTGTTAAAAGTTGTATTAGGCTGGGAGATGGCACAGTGGAGGGAACAAGAAACAGAGTTCCAATTCCCAGCACTCGAGTAGAAAGCCAGGCAAGCGTGCCAGCTCACCTGAATCACGCTCAGCTATAGCTGGGCAGGCTGGGCAGTCCTTCTCTATCACCCACCTAGAAAGCCAGACAGCCACGGCAGCCCCTCAGTATCGCAGAGCTGGCTCCTTAGCACAAGCTGGCGAGCTAACGTTGCTGAACCTGTCAATTCTGGGTTTGGTCAAAATCCCCGCCTCGGTTAGAAAAGTGGAGAGCAGTTGAGGAAGACACCTGCCATCAACCTCTGGCCTCTCTACACATGCATATACAAACCTGTATACACACATGCACTCCATCCATGCAAACACACACACACACTCACACACACGCACACGCACGCACACGCACAGGCACAGGCACACTGCACACACATGCACACACAACATTATAACTAATGTGAAATGAGGTAGTGGAATTCCATTTTGCCTCTCTCCCTTCCCAGTCACCTAATAAGAATGGCATGTGTGTTTGTTTGTATGTGTGTGTTCTATGTTCACGGATGTAAAGGGGCGTGTGGAGCTGGAACAAGGGACCAGGTCCCTGAAACTGAACCTCCACACAGTCTTCTCAACGTGGGTGCTGGGAGCCAGCCTCACTCCTCTGCAAGAGCAGCAAGTGCTTGTAGCTGCTGATCCTTTTCTCCAGCCCCACGATAAAATTTGATCAGCAAAAGGCAGTGTTGTATAAAATTCTGTGTAACTAACACCTTTCGTCAGTAGTGTTCTTAGCATTATTGAGCAGCATAATGTACTTACTGAAAAAAAATGCCCAATGTAATAAAGGGTAATACTTTAAAACAATGCAAAAATTTAATATGAGATTGCATCAGTAGAATATGGAACCTGCTTTGAGTAGGTGATAGTCCTACCATATCTTAGTTAGAACTCATGTATGGGTGCCACGCTCTAAGGTAAAAATTAAGCCCATTGGAGGTGTCAGAAGGAGAGGTGCCAGTGAAAAGTTAGAGGGAACTTGGTAGCTCCCTGGCGTCTGTGAAAGGCCCCAGTGTGTCTCTTGTGAGGCAGGACACACACTTTTTTTTTTTTAAATCAATAACGCAACTTCTAGGGAGGCAGTTTGGGTCTAATGACAAGACATTCCCAACTGTGACAGCCTTTTGGAGGCATAAGAGCCTGTTCTGAAAAGCATGCCTGTTTCTCATGGCAGCTCTTTCAGCTGAGGCAGGCAGCCTTGTATCAGGGATATTGTAGCGAGAACTCAAGAAGGAATGGGGGTGATCTCCAAAATTATTTCCCTCTGAAACTGCACAGGTTTCTGTTATGTGAGTCATAAGGTGAAACGTGATACAGTGACAAGGAGAGGCACCCGTGTTCTTCCCTTGGCTCTTAGTACCTTCAGTCCACGCATGCGTCCCTCCCATGTTTCCATATGTACAACACAGGAACTTGGCTTCAATGTGCTCATTTAAATGTGCTGCATACAGCAAGTGTTCCTGTAGTGTTCTAGTGGTAATGGTAAAATCACCTCATTCCTTTTAGATTTAGTAAGTACATTTATAAAAGAAGGTGTTGCTACAGTATCATTTAGTCAGTCTTTTATTCATATGAGTGGATTTATGGATATTTTGTTATTTTGATTATAATTCAATATTACTTCTTTTTCCCCAAGTTATGTCAGATTTGGCCTGGAAGACCTAGAACATTTCTTTTTCTTTTTGAGACAGCATCTTGGGCTTTCATTCTGTAGTTCATGCACTCTTGAAACTCGCTCTTTAGCCCTAACTGATCTTGAACTCTTGGTCATTCTTCAGTAACTCCAACTGTGTATGTGTGTGTACCTAGCTTCTGGGATTGAATCTAGGGTCTTGAATGTACTAGTCATATGCCCCTCAGCCTAGACTTAAGTTTTAATGGGCAACAAAAAGTTTGTTGTGGTTTTGACCAAAAGCAACTACTGTTTTAAAAAATGACCTCTTTTAAAGCTGGTGTAGGGTAATTACAGACTATTCTAAGTTACCTGAAAATACTATCCTATTCCTTCTTTCTGGGTACATATTTGTGGAGTCAGATTTTTTTCATGTTGCATCTGTTAAAATAGCATACTGTGATTAATTGAATACAGACATAAACATGAGAATTCAGCCATCTTGTATTAAGCCAGACAGTCAAGAATTTGCAAAAAAATATAAACAACATCATTCTTCTCACTATTTCAGCTTCACAGCATCTGTTGTTGACTTTTGCATGAAATTTGCTTACTTTATTATATTTTGTGATTGTTATTTTTGAGACAGGGTGTCACAGTGCAGCTTTGTCTGGCCTAGAATACACTATGAGGGGCAGGCTGTGTTAGTTAGGGTTTCTTTTGCTGTGAGGAGATGTCATGATCACGACAACTTTTATTAAAGAAACAACTTAATTGGGGCTGGGCTTAAAGTTCAGAGGTTTAGACCATTGTCGTCATGCAGGTAGATACAATGCTGGGAAGGTAGTTAAGAGTTCTGCATATAGATCCACAGGCAGCCGGACGAGAGAGTGACTGTGGGCCTGGCTGGAGCTTCTGTAGTCTCAAAGCCTACTCCCAGTGACGCACTTCCTTCAACAAGGCCACACCTCCTGATAGTGTCATCCCTGAGAGCATATAAGGGCCGTTTTAATTCACACTACCGCAAGGCTGTCCTTGAACTCACAGAGATCCGCCTGCCTCTGCCTCCCAGAGTTGGAACTAAAGGCATGCCCCACCATACCACACTACTCTGTTATTTTTAAATGAATTAGTATTTTTTTTTTTCAAATTTGTCCTTTGAAATTTTGGTTGATAAATAGTCGCAGTTATAATATATATTACTAACATTTCAGTGAGTTGCTGGATTATTTTTATGGGTCTAAAGGGATTCTTGAACCAACATATTTGAAGACCATCTTGATAAGCCAGCTGTGTTTTGATTATAGAATTTTCAACATCTTTTTTTTTTTTTAACTCATTTTGATAGTTTCCTACGGAAAGGCTTTTGCTCTTCCTTTTTAGTGTGCACTAAAAGAATATGCAAGTGTACAGTCATTATTACATTTGTTTATATTCTTTAAATCCTAAAAGTTACTCCGTTTGTTGTCAAAATTTAATACTACTTACAATGTCATCATTAGATGTGGTGTCTGGAACTTCGAGGGTAATCAGTATTTATTTATTGAGTGAATAAATACTTGTATTTAACATTCTATCTAAATTCAGATCAGCAATGAAATTGAGAATGTGACGGAGGAGCCCACACCGCCCGCTGAAGAACAGATAGCAGAATTCAGCATCCAACTTCTGGGGAAGCAGTACAGCGAGGAGCTGCAGAATCCCTCTAGCGCCCTCTACCGGCGCCTTGTGGAAGAGTTTATTTCCGAGGTGGGTTTTTCTTTTCTTTTTTTTTCTTTGTTTAAGTTTTTGGAAGAAGCTTTAATTTATTTATTTCTAACATGTGGATTATAGGAAACAAAAATCATCCGTGTGTGTGGTTCATTTGATTGGTTAGCATGTTTGTTTGGGGGGATTAAGTTTCTCATAACCACAACACATTTGAGAATTCAAGCTGACAAATACTAGGGTTGCAGCTTAGCCATTTTGTGAAATGTCAATGTTTGGTGAATCCAGTATCTCTGAACAGCTATACACTGCTTATCATTTTTTTCTGGATGAGAACATTAGACTTAATTTTTAAAAATTTAATCTTTACTTTCCTTTTTTTGTTTTTTTTTTAATTTATTTGTTTGTTTATTTTTGAGACAGGGTTTCTCTGTGTACTTGGGACTCGCTCTGTAGATCAGGCTGGCCTCAAACTCAGGACCCACCTACCTCTGCATGGGATTAAAGACATGCACCACCACCACCCGGGCTCTGCTCTTATTTTCTAGTTTGGACACTTTTAAGTAGTTAACTCACAGGCGATGTGTGTGCAAAGCTGAGAAGCACTTGAGGGAATGTGAGAAATAAACCCCTTTCTTCTCTGTCCTCTGGCTCTGCTGGGAGTGTTTTTTTTTTTTTTTTTTAAGGGATTTTTCTAAGCAGCCATGTGTTAAGCAATACCCATTACTTACCTTTTGAAAGAATTCTGCATGGAGTTTGAACTCAGAACTCTTCCCTTACACATCATCTATGCCTGGCGCCCTCCTTGTGCGCCTTTGTTGTGATGTAGTATGGTGCTGAACGCCATCTGCTCTTTGTGATAACTGGGCACACCATTTCTTCCTGCTTACTTCTTTTCCATCCCTACTTGATTGGCTTTTCCTTACCAAGTGTGTTAATTCCATTACCCTGGCTTAATTTCTCTCCCCAGTCGTTGTGTCCAGATGGGAAATAAAAATATGCGTCTGTCAGCCAAATAGCATCATTGCAGCCATCAGACATGGAGAAGAGCGTAGGCCAGGCAATTCGTTTTCCTAACTGTGCGGCCAAGTTGCAAGGCTGTATGGTATGTGGAAGAAAAGTCAGCCAGGCCAGTGGCCACCTGGCATCAGATACTGTCTTGAACTGGCTGTCTGGCTTTCCTGCCTGGATTAAGGAACCTTTAATAAGCCTCTGTGTTTCGGTAAACAACTGCAGGAATGACTGGAGATTTAGAGAAAAATCTAATAAATACTTTGAAAGGTGTCTCCTTAGTAATGACTTTATGAGATAAGTGGCCCCTGAACTGAGGTGATTTGAGGGTGATGAATGGTCTGCACCACCCCCTTCCCCGTCTCTGGTTAATGTCTGTACCACTGTCACCTTCTGACCTGCGATGACGTGTCCTAATAACTATTTCTTTGTATGGATGGTACTCTCTCTGTCTCTGTCCGTGTATGTGTGTGTGTGTGTGTGTGTGTGCATGTGTGAGTGTGTGTGTATGGTTTAACCTGCTTATGGAGGTCAGAAGGCAGCCTTAGTTTTTAGCTTCGCTTTGTACCTTGTTTGAGACAGGTTGCTGTTGTTTGCTGATGTGGGTGTCAGGCTGTCAGGCCTGCCAGTTCCCAAGGATTCTTCTGTCTCTGTCTTCTACCTAAAACCCTGGGATCACAGGTGCTCTTTAAGGCATCAGGCTTTGTGTCAGTTTCTGAGGATTTGAATCTGTGTCCTAACCTTGCATGGCAAACACTTTACCCATTGAGCCATCTCCCCAGCTGTCCATTTGCCTTTCAAAGTGGTCCTTCCTCCCCCCACCCAGACAGAAACTATAGTGAGTTCTCAGTTTCAAATGTGTCAGGAGGCAGGAGGAACAGGAGAAGGCAGTGGTAGTCCAATGGGCAGAATATGGATGGCAGGGTTAGAGGTCATTGACTTGCAAGTAACTCTGAGCCAGCCACCCTTGAATTATTTATCCTTAAAACAAGAAACTCTTCAGTGAACCAAGATTAAAAAAAAAAAAATCTGTTCCCTGTCATTATGAGGCACTGGTTAGAAGCATCTATATGGTCCTGGCCAAATAAGCTGCCATCCCAGTGTCTCAGTTTTCTCACTTATCAAATCTGGATAACATGTATGTCTTGGGAGTGTTTCAAGGATTAGATGTAAAATTGTGGAGGCCCAGTGTGGCGGTCGCTCAGGAAGTTGTACCCGTCCCTAACGTGGGTGCTGATAAAGTGAGGTGGTTTCTCGCGCGGGATCCCTGTAGTAGCTAACTGCGTGCGGCGACTTAGAAGACTTGTATGTATTTGGATCTAACAGGTACCCAACCCCCTGCCTCGGCACCCCGGCTCACAGTGGCAGTTTGCAGTTAATGGGATGCTTTCGGCTACAGTCACTTTCAGGTTTAGAGGCCGATGTGGTGGGAGGCAGGGCAGACTTAGTGCCGTGGAGGAGAGCTGGTGCACATTCACTCAACCAGCAAACACACAGCCTTAGACTCAGGATCCTAGGATGTCCCTCTGCCCTTATCCTGCAAGCATATGCTCTACCCTTTCAAGGAGTAAAACAAGTAGTGTAGGCAAAATGCTCTATGGATGTACATTCTTTATTTGTATGTGTGTACTTGTGCATGAGGGCACACACATAGAATGCATACACACGTGTGAGTGTGCATATGGAAGATGGGTTTTTTTCCTCAGTCACTCTCCACCCTCATTTTGGAGACAGGATGCATTTCTGAGCCACGACCTTCCCAGGATGGCCAGTGAGCCTCACAGGTCCTCCGTCTCTCCCTTGCCGGCATTGGAATTACAGGTGTTTTCATGTGGGTGTTGGGAGTCAGACTCAGGGCATCATGCTTGTATGACAAACACTGTATTGACTCAGCTACCTCCACAGCCCTGTGAATTCTTTATCTTTAAACCAAGAAGATCTGCAGAGAACCAAGATTTTAAAAAGTTCTACTCCCCTGATGTCGTGAGGATGGGGTTAAAAGAATCTTCTTCTCAGAGAAGTCTCTGCAGTCCCTAATGTTTCCATTCGTGTGTGTTGACCCCAAAGCCATCCATCTGGTGAGCCACTTTGGAAATATTAAGGAGTAAATATTAACTTTTGTTTAAATACATATTTTTATATAATTAAATTATTTTTAGATCCCCAGTCTGGCATTCTTTTTCTCTCTCCAGCTACTAAGCTCCTTTGGAAAGATGTGGTGGCATTTTAAAGGCTTGGTATTAAAACCAGCTCTCATGGATGTGATGCTTATAAACTCATATTTTAACCAGTGGAATAATCTGGCCACCACTTCTTAACCTATTTTGTGATGACCAGTCTACATGGATCTCTGTTCTGGGGATAACTTGGGCCTATGTCCTTCTTTTTTGAATGCTGAGTGTGTTCCTAGTTTTTGTGATGCGGGGACAGGAAACAGACACTCCCAGACATATTCACACTTAGAGAAAACAGACACTAGCCTCTGCCAGGGTGCTTGCTGGGCCCAGATTTCCAACTGGAACAGTACCATTTAAAAATTCTGTTATACAAATACTATTAGAGTTTCGTTTCAAATTAAATCTTTTAATATTTTACACAAAAGGAGGAAAACGTTGCTTTAACTAATAATGTTTTTTATAAACTCAAAAATAAAAAGAAAGCACATTAAAATCATAAAAGACAAAATGAAAAAGAAATCGTGACAGTATTGTGGCAAACACTATTTTCTGACGTTGTAACTGTAACTTTTTATCTGCGTGTACAAGCTCTGATAATTGTAAGGTCAGAGTGTACTTTTTACTGTGCTCCTCAGAGCGTTTGAACTATAGTTTAGCACAGTCTATACAGTGATCATCTTCATTTGTGTTCCCTCAACAGGTTGGAAACGCATTCGCAGGGTTACCGGGGTATAAGGACATCGGCGTTCTTGAGTTCAGGTAAAGAGAGTTACTCGAAAGCGCGCATGTGCAGTGCTGTCCTTTGTCTGAACGGAAAAGCCTGGTGTTGGTCATACATACTCTTAACAGCGTGCGGTTGGAATGCTGTACTGTTAACACCAGTCAGTACTTTAACACCAGTGCTATACAGGTGAAACTGAGTCAATGAGTGGTAAAGCCGTGTATTCGTGGAGATGGAGCGCGGTCTGCCGCTGGAGCAAGGAACAGCTTAGGCTTTGTGCTGACAAGTTATGCGGCTCTCATTTGGCCCCTGGGGTCAGGCTTTTTCTGAAGGTCTCAGAGTTGTAGTAAGGTGACTGTTGATCTTTGGGGCCGACACTTCCAGCCCTCTTTTTCCAGAGGAGGAAACGTGTTTAAAGGGCTGCACTAGCCTACTATGGACCAGCAGCTCTGTCCTGAGGGTGGAGGAGGGATTTTGAAATGAAACAGCTCATATTTCAGTACTTGCTCTCAACCTCCATGTGGGAATCTTTTATTTGGGGGACTGGCGGTAGCTGTTGCCCAACTATTGCGTACAGGGACACGGGATGGGCTGTTGCGAATTGTTCGCAGCAGGATTTGTGGTGGCAATGATCGCTCCAGCCTTCTTCTGATAGAGAAACCAGAACAGAGACAACTGAAATTGTTAACCGAAGGCCACACATGTTAGTGCAGAGACCTGCCTGGTAGACTGTCTTCTTGACTTCATGCCACAACAGCCCAGCTGAGTCTCTGCAGTCACCTCTGCTCCTCTATGGTGACCAGGATGAAGACCCTGGGAGGCCTCACTCCTTGGTAGCCTGTGGCACCACGTGGCTCTGAAGCCATCTTGTCCATCTTGTCTGGCTAGGAACGTTCCCTGTGCACCGTGGGCTGGATGGTTTTGAGTGGTTTGTTAGATTTCTGCTTTCCGTGTGTACACAACAGGTTCACCCGTGAGTCCCGGTTTATTAAAAATGCTTTGTGATGCTTTGGGTAAATTAACAGTGTCTTTCTTCCTTAGTCTCTTCATGTCCAATGTGGATATTAGTAGTCCTTGGTAAATATTAATGAGAATCAAGTGAACTAATTTTTGTAAAATGCTTAGCACAGTTTAGGCACAGGGGAAGTTCTATTTTATTATTTTGTGTCTCTGTGTGTTTTGCCTATGTGTCTGTGCACCACATGTCCTCCCTAGAAGAGGGCGTATCAGATCTCCAGGCACTAGAGTTACAGACAGTTGTAACCCACCATGTGGGTGCTTGGATCCAGTCAGGGTCCTCTGGAAAAACAGCCAGCGCTCTGACCTGCTGAGCACCTCTGCAGCCCAGGAGTCCCGCTTGAGGCCTGTTACGTGAAGGAAACAAACACTAAAAGCTGTACAATGCACCGTAGGCTAGCTGGTCCCACCTGATACTTTAGTGTAATCATTAAAGTTCCATAATTGTACATTACATAATGGTAAGTCATTTCTTTTTCTTTTCTGTTCTTTTTTCACATTCATGCCACTTAATTTTAATGTCGTGCTGTCATGACATTAAATGACAACGACGTTGTCATGATATCACAAAGTCTGTCTTTGCAGTAAGAGGTCTCCAGTGTGACATTCCTAATTTTAGTGCCAACAACTGAAGTCCTCTAACAATCTACTAAAAAGTTGATTTACAAAGAGATAAATCACATACTTAAGAAGCACTTTTAAGGTAAATTTACAACAAAAATTGTAAAATTCATTGCCTTTGAAATGTCTCCTTACTTCTTCATCTTCATTCCCCTCCCCTCTTTTTTTTTTTTTTTTCACAGTCTTTCTATGTAGGCCTGGGTGGCCTGGAACTTGCTAAATAAGAACAGGCTGCAATCAAACCTTATCTATCTATCTATCTATCTATCTATCTATCTATCTATCTATCTATCTAAACTTCTAGCATGTAATAGATCTGATTTGATGTATTTTACTTAAGAAGGTATTTCTTTTTTTTTTGAATTTTATTTTTTTCTTATCAGTTACATTTTGTTAACTCTGTATCCCAGCCGTGTCCCGATCCCTCATTCCCTCCCAGTCCTTCCCTCCCTCCCTCATCTCCACCGTGCCCCTTGCCAAGTCCACTGATTTCATAGCACAGACTGAGCTAATCACCTCTCTCAGCCTAAGGTCAGCTGTTTTCCTCCTGACAAGAGAGAGAAATAAGAAAGCCAGAACTGTCTATGGTTTTGGCACCTTCCCACAGCAAATTGTTTCTGAACTGTAGCCTCCCCTTTTCTGTTTTAACCACCAGAAGCTTGCCAGGCTAGAATCCCCTACTTTGGGTGGGCTGGGAGGGACTGGGACCTATAAATCACCCACAATCCAGAGCTAAGGGCTCTCAGCTGGATACCAATGTCTTGGTATCTGTGAGAATCCCAGCTTGAGCTTGCAAATAAAGATCTTCATGTGTTTTGCAAAATATATATATATATTATATATATATATATGATAATGTGTATAGTGATGAATTATGTGACAATCATAAAGAAAATTGAACTCTAATGGACACTTTTGTTATTTTTCAGATCTCCTGAGGAAAATGGCAGGTGAAGTCCCTTTTGGTACTTTCTGTGTTGTGCATTGTCAGCATCTAGTCCTAGCGTACAATAAAAACCTCTTTATCTGTAGTGAATGTATACAGGCTTTTTTTTGTTATCATGATGCTTCAGATAATAAAACGTGTTTACGTAGCATCTACATGGAGAAGCATTCTAAAGATGATTTAGATGGGGGGGTGTCGCATGTCAGATGTCCTGCATAGGAGATATTTATAGTATGATTTATAACTAGCAAAATTATAACAGCAGCTGGGTGTGGTGGCACATGCCTGTAACCCTAGCACTCTGGGAGGCAGAGGCAGGTGGAGCTCTGGGTGCGTGAGGCCAGCCTAGTCTACAAAGTCTAGGACAGCCAAGGCAACACAGAGAAATTCTGCCTTGTAAAACCAAAAATTAAAAAAAAATTGCAGTGTTAATGTAATAATTTTATGCTTGGGGGCCACCACAAGAGGAACCATGTTAAAGGATAGCTGCATTAGGAAGGTTAAGAGCCACTGACTTGAAGTAAGAAATGTGTAGTGACTGCTCCAATGCATTTAAGGGGCTTGGACATTGTGGAATTTGACATGCATGGAATGACGGAGGTCACTGGAACCAACCCCAGTAAACACCTAAGGTGGACAAGAATATCTTGGTTTGAAAGGACTTTCTGATCTTACTTATATTATTTTGATAGGTGTTTATGAAATGCCTTGTTACTGGGCAAACCCCATGCATAGGGAAATGAATATATTTTGGGTTTTGTCTTTTAGGAATGTGTAGGGTAGCAGTCCTCTCTCTCCCTCCCTCCCTCCCTTCCTTCCTTCCTTCCTTCCTTCCTTCCTTCCTTCCTTCCTTCCTTCCTTCCTTCTTTCCTTTTCAACTTTATCATCCTAGTTCCCTTGTGGGATAGTAAAGTGAGGATTCATATTTGTTTCCCTTTGGCTAGTGAGGACATTTTGATTTAGAGAGACATAGTATTGTTAGAAGTTACATGACTAGGAGATACCAGATAGCTTGACCAGTCAGAGTTTGGGTTTCTGTACTTTTACTGATTGTAACCTCTCTGCACTATGTATTATTGCTACAGTGCTGAGTTCTGGACCCACTCAAAAGTGACTCACTCTTATGGTGGTTAGAATATTGAAATCTTGAGGTTACCTCTATCATTGAAAAGATAGTAGCCATTTGCCAAGTGCTAACACCTGTAAAGGAACACAGAAAACAGTTAACTATAAAGTCCCTACATTATGGTAGAACACTAGCATAGGCATGGGTTTTGAAATTGTTTAGTGTTATCAGTTAGTATCAATTAATTGACTGAATTCATTATAAATTTGATATATTAATATTCCAAGTTGTGCATGAATGACTGGATGGAACAGAAATAAAAATACACACTCTGCCACCAGCACTGAAATGCATGTGAAATTTTAGCCTTACTTTTTACCATGTATAGCCCCACTTATCAGACAAACTTAGTAGAATCCATTTGAAAGGAATAGATCGTATATCGATCTGGCTTACACATGTCCTAATATCAGCTCCAAGCATTGTAAGTACACACTTTCTTCCCAGAAGAAACATTACAGGAGAAACATTGTCTATTTAGCTTGTGTGTGATATGGAGCACCATTACCCTTTAAAATTATGCATATCCCAAAAGCCTGTCGGGGCATCTGGGGTGAGAGAATAAGGATGAATCTTTCGTTCATATGATTGATGCCTGACTGATGGATTCCTGGATGATTCATGCTGAAACATACTGGTGCAGCTGTGGTTGGTTGCCTTAGGTTACTGAGTGTGGGGCCAGCACAGCTTTCTTTAATCAGAGAAGTTCTGTCTTCCTGTCTATGGACTTCTGGAACTCTTGGGTTAAAAAAAAAATTACCCTCATCCTGAGAAGTCTTTGCCAGATGCTGCTTTCCTGGGTCACAGTAAAAATTCTTGGCTTTAAGAATACCAAGAATAACTTCTTGGTATTGCAAGTATTTCTTTGAGTTCTCATTCCAAGACAAAAACATAATAAATTACAGCATCTTTCTGAGTCATTTTTTTCTTTCTTAATGAATTTATCTATGCTAGACAAGGTATGTTACAGAAGACATACTATCTTTAGATGACCAATGTAAACACTGGGAGGAAAAATGATATTTTGTCAGCAAAGGATGAGGTTAGTAATGTAACACAGACTTGCTGATTTGCATAGATTTCTAATCCAGGAACATTTCTCATGATCTTTTCTCCTTAACATTTAAAAGCCATGCAAGGCACACATATTAGGATTCCAGTAAATGCTTGACTCTTCTTGCCCACTTTTTCATGAAGTGAGCAGTGGGACAGCCATTTGAGTTCTGTCAGGCATAGCCTCCTCTTTTCTCTCTCCTACCTCTTTTCCTCTTCTACCTCCTCTTTCATTGTTGCTATTGTTTTCTGTCTTAGAGTCCTGCTAACACTATAAGAAAGTTTAATAGATTGTATAAATATCTTGAGAAGGAGCCCAGCTTTCTGGATATGCAGGTGCGGTCCACCAGGCTTGCAGAGAGTGTGGCATCCTCAAGTTGTGGGTGGCCTGGGAACAGTGTTCCTAAATGAGTGTACAGATATAAAAGTACGAAGGAAATAGATGTGCTCTGCAGGGGGAAAGTTGTTCATTTTATATTTAGGGTCATAAAACTTCAGCTTAAGAGACGAAGTGCAGCTTATCAGATCCCAACCCAGAATTTCTTTTCCTCAATGTAATCAATTAGTGCTTTGCTCTGTTAATGGGGGAAGGAAGGTTGGAGGGGTCTGGCTGCGTCCAGGCATCCCCTATAGACTAGAACATCACCTGCACTGTGCAGATCGGGACAGGTGCAAAGTAGCCAGCACTCACAGGAAAGGACTTCTTAAAACCACCATCTGCTTCCTAAACCACAAAAGACAACTCTTTCTGATTGTTTGAACATGGGAGAGGCACCTGCCAACTGTGTGATCTTTGCATTGGCTGGCTCATGTATTCTTTTCCCATAGGAAAATCCATGAGGAGTTATAATCAAAAGTTTCTTTTGCAAGCTCGAATTCAGAGGAAGTTCGGTCATCTGGATGACCACTGTCAATCAAGCCAGAGTAGCTTGTTATATTTGCCTTTAATCAACAGGATACCTTTAAAGAAGCTGTGATAGACTGGGCAGCTCTCACCTCTAGGAGGATAGGAGAGTTTATTCTGGAGTCAAATGTGAGTGACTCTTGTCCGTGTTCTGAGTCTCACGGGTCGATTGGCGAGAGATGCTTCAGGATGTTAAGGTGTTGCTGGCAGCAGCTTCTGTGGACTGAGTACTAGAAGCTTCACAGAAGCTGTTTTCATTGATTGTTGCACAAAAGGCCATTTGGCAAGTCAGCTTCCTGCACACTATAGCTTCTTATCAGATTTAAGAGTTATCTTAGAGAACCATTACCCAAGCAAACACAGTGTATCATAAGAATTCCAGGAATGTCTTATGATTGAGGTTACACTCAGGGTCTGAAGTTCCCAAGAAAAAGCAACCCCCAAAATTTAAGATAACAATCACTGATTATTTACAAGAGATTACTTCAAGGCTAAGTGACCATCACTCTGGAGTAAAGGCCAGGTGCAATGGCTTTTTTTAAAATTCTGCTACACACCATACCCAAACTCCATGTTCCAATGTGGTGAAGGTTTCATGCAGGTTTATAGTAACAGAACAAACAGTGATAGAAGCCTTTTCAAATACAGTAGGTATAGAAAAGCAGGAAATGTCAGCTATAGGCTTCAGGTGGTGTCTGATGGCATTCTTAGCCTTTTGGTGATGGAAGCTAGAGGGCTGTTTGTAAAGTCCAAAGGAATTACCTACTAGTCACAGAGATGTCAGGTCAATAGATGTAGAAGAGGAAAATACACATCTATTAACAGGACTGAAGGTGGCCCAAGATAGTTTACCTCTGGTCTTGAAATGTTTTAGCCTTTCCATCATTAAAATCCTAATCAGCTAACCAGCTTTCCAGAAGGCTCAGTGACGAAGTTCACGCAGAGAACTTTGCTTCACACTGGTTAGAAACTTTCCACTAAACAATAGCAAATTACTGACCAGATCCACCTAGGATCTGTAATGCCATCTTCCTTCTACTGAATTTTTTCTTTAGATATGTAAGTGATTGAATACTTTGCAGATTTTTTCTTTTTATATTCAAACAAATCTACATTTCTGCTCATATAATAGATACTGGGTAGTTCTCTGTATGAGGTGCCAAGCTGAATATTGGTGCTAGAAATTTAAGGAGAGAGGGGGGCAGTCACAATAATAAAATCTTTTTACATGCACATAACACTGGTGCTCGAGGAGGCACACATTCTACTATGTCTGTATATCCTCATACACATATCTACACATGAACATCTGAATAAGTAATTTCATGGGAAGATGCTGCCTGTTTTTATGTTTTGAATTGGGAGTCATTTACTGCCGTTGAATGTCTGAACTAGATATCTTTCATTATACACCTGTCGTGAGTGGAGTTTTTTTGGAAGGTAGTTCTTTTCCTTGGAGGTATCTTGTACAGCAGATGTGAAGACTGTTGAAGAGACAAACTGGAGGCCAGCGTGGTGACTGGCGCAGAGATGCCCCATAATGACCCAGACCCTAATTGTTTGATCGGCCGAGTAGTTCACAATACAGTGCTGAAGTGAAAGCCCTATCCCACCACAGCTTCATTGCCAAAAAAAAAAAAAAAAAAAAAAAAGTATGAAGCCTTTTAGCTTCTTTAAAACTTTCATATTGTTTCCTTAATAATATTCTGAAGATGATAAACATTTTTTAAGCTTATTGTGAATACTAAATGAGATAAAGGCACAGTGACCGTCTAGCATACTGAGATGCCTGAGTGAATTAGTGTCCAGGCAACACCTTCCCCTTTGCTTTCCAACCTTATCTTCTCATATTATTTCTTCAAATGGCTAAGAAAATGTAAAAGAACATTCCAACTATTGCTTATTCTGTTCTCCCTCCTTTATTACATCAAGCCTTCTTTTCTTTTGCTTGTATGAAAGAATAGTAAAAAGAGCTTGTTTTGTAGATAGTTATTTGTTAGCATGTACTGTGGTTTATTGAATTCATTAATAAGGAAATAAACACAAGAAGAAAAGATAAAGGGAAAAAAAGAGCAAAAAACTCATAAAGATTTCTAAGTTAGATATAGTATTAGTAAGTGTCTGAGTATTGTAGACAGGTCAAAAGAAAAATCATATCATAACATCCTTCACAGTTTTGCCTTAAAATTTATTGACCTGTAAATTCTCTGGGCTGTCAGTCAGAAGTAGGTTTCTGGAAAGATTCACATAGCTGTCATTCTAGAAAAATTCTGTCCTATCTGTCTGTCATATATCTATTATCTATCTAACTATCTGTCTATTACCTATCTCTCAATCTATCATCTATCTATATTTGAAAAATAAGTTGCTGTATTTGTACACTTAACTTTTTTGCCTAAAAGTTTGAAAATTTTCTTCCTCAGTAAGTAGCTGTGGTTTAGTGCATTACTTTTCTGATAGCAACAATAAGGACATATAAGAAAAAAATTAATATTCTTTTGGGGAGGAGCTAGACGGTGTGTGTGTGTGTGTGTGTGTGTGTGTGTTATATATGTGTGTGTGCATGTGTGCCTAGCACAGAATGTTTATAGAGGTTAGAGGAAACTTGTCGGAGTTGATTCTCTCCTTCATGAAATGTAGGTCCAGAAACTGAACCCAGGCCATCAGGCTTAGTGGCAAGCTCATCCATTGGCCAAGCCATCTCAGTGGACCAGTGCAGCTTTTAAAAACAGGAAGTACAAGTTGTAACAGGCCTTGATGGGAGACACCTCTCTCAAGGAGGATAAGAGATAGCTCATTCTGGAGCCTAGTATAAGTGTCCATGGCCTAACAACATAGATTTGAGGTTATACAAAATTCCATGTTCCAACAGGACATTAGTTTCATGAAGTTTTCATAATATCAGAAAAAGAAAGTATATATATATATATATATATATATATATATATATATATATATATATATATATATATATATACGCTAAATACAGTGGTGGAAATAGCCGGTAGGTTAGATACTGTAAAGTGGAGAAATCTCTCTTATAGGCCCCAGATGTTATATTAGCTTTGGGGTTTGTGGGAGCGAAGGGGTCTGTACATTCCAAAGGATTTATCTAACACTAGCACAGGTGTTAGGTTGCACAAAGAGTTGGGCCATGAATGATGTCTGGCTCTGGACTTTCACCCTACCAGCTTCACCACATTATTGAAGTTCCAATTAGCCTACCAACCTCTCTAGTTATGGCTTCTCTCCAGGAACCTTTGTAATCACAGGGAAGGAAGAAAGGAGGAAATTAGTGAAGAAAAAGGAGCTGGCTTTGAAAGAGGGGGAAGCGGATGAGAATATGGGGCATGAAGAACTTCTGATAATATGGAAGGGATGCCTCAGTGGCTTCCTTAGAATTCTTGTCCTATTCGTAAAGTTATGACCCTCCATTCTCTGGAGAGGGGGAGGAGGTGCCAGGGGGTTGCACAGTGTCTGCAGAGAATGTTGATAGACTCCATGCCTTTTCAGACTCTGGCCCTTGGCCTAATGCTGTCTGTAGACCCAAAGTTCCTTTCTTAGCTGTAATCTGTTCTGTCTCCGTAGTGGAATAGATGTTCGCTATGCAGTTACCTTCAGTGGCGAGGCCATCGGCAATACCACCTGGGACCTCATAAGCCTTCACTCCAACAAGGTGGAGAACCATGGCCTTGTGGAGCTGGATGATAAACCCACTGCTATCTACACGATTAGTAACTTCAGAGACTATATCGCCGAGACACTGCACCAAAACTTTTTGATGGGGAATTCCTCTTTGAATCCAGATCCCAAGTCTCTCCAGCTTATCAATGGTGAGTTGGAAAATCACTCATGATGTCCTCATGTGGTTTTCTTTTCCTTTTCAATATAGTATGTAAAGACTAACTCCGCTAATATAGATGCTGCTACACTTTCTTAAACTGCACAAGAAAGGAACATCCTGATAAATAGAGCCTTGGCCCTACAATCATTTGGCATAGATTAGTCATGGGCTTCCTTCAATATTTTTCCATAGTAAGAAGCAGAATTGGGAAAGTGGAGCACAGCACTTCCATTAGAAATAGTTAAAGGGATGGGAACAAAGCATAAGAAACAGGAAGGCAGGAAGGCAGAGCTTCACAATAAGAATCACAGCAGGCTGTGGTGCTGTAAGACAACAGTAGTGTGAGCTGTTGAAAAGGCCAGTTGGTTAAGGCTAACAAGCCAGCAGAAGCAATGGAACAGCAGAGGAAAGCTGGTGGAAGCTGGCTGAGAGAGCTGGCTGTTACAGCTGTGGAGATCCCATGATGGGTTATAATGAGCAGTGGAGCTGGGATCATCAAGGAGACCAGGGGTGGGAGGACCACTGTGGGTTTGGAGGATAGAATGGTCTCCCAGTCACCCTGGGGCAAAGCTTGCTTGCTGTCAAGCTCCTACTACATCTTAATTCATCAGAGACAAAGAGTTCTAACTTATTTGCTGTTGTGCTTATTTTCTGTTTGCTTTGCCATGATGTCTTCACTTTTGGGTCCTTTAACCTTTAAAATTTCCAAAACAATGTAATTTACTGAAGTGAGAAAATGGGAAAGCTGCCAGTGGAAATCTATCTATCTATCTATCTATCTATCTATCTATCTATCTATCTATCTATCTATCATCTGTCTATCTATCTATGTGGGCGTATTCTACAGTACTGTACAGTGCTCTACAGTGCATGGGGGTTAGAAGACAATTTGTGGGAGTCTATTCTTTCCTTATACCATTTGGATCCTGGGTGTTGAATGTCGGTTGTCTGGCTTTCTCATTAAGCCATCTTGCTGGTCTTAATAATTAATTTTTAGAGGAAGAGGTTAAGATAAATTAAATGTAACCCTCTAATTGATCAAAGAGTGAGTTATCCAGCTCTGAGACCCAGGACATGTTCTGCAACACCCCAGAATTACTACATGGCTAGACGATGTTTATAGTTAGAAAATGGAAAGTGACATATAAGAAACAGGACCAAGGTACAGAGAGGGATTGGTTGTTTAAAACCTAGCTTTTGCTTTATTTTAGAGGTTCTCAACTGGAGGTCATGACCCCTTTGGAGGTTGAACAACCTTTTCACAGGAGTCACCTAAGACCATCAGGAAGCACAGATGTTTATATTACAATTCATAAGAGTAGCAAAATTGTAACAAAAAAATTTTATGGTTGGGGGGGTAATCACACCATGAGGAACTGCATTTAAGGATCACAGCATTAGGAAGGTTGAGAACCGCTGCCTTATCTGTCCGTGATCTCACGTAAGCTCAGCTTTTGTGTTTGGCTGACAGTCTGCTCCATGACACAGATTGCTGAGTTTGGTTTGCATTTTGTGTAAATGCTAATTCAGCCAGGCTATGGCTCAGGGTTGGAAGGACCAGGTTTGGTGAGCACAGCGGTCTGCTTTGGCCATATTAATTTACTGTAACATCCTCTGAGCACTGCGGTGGGATGTGCACTGAAAATGCATGGGGATCTCAGATACAGCAGTGTTTTAAGGCATGATTTTTTTTTTTTTTTACATTGTCTTTCCTCAGTGAGAGGAGTTTTTCTCCCCCAAAAAGAAGATGTAGTTTGGCACACCCAAAGTTCAAGTCTTCCGGTGACAACGTCTTCTATTCTGGTAAGCCACTGTGTCTTCCTAGCCCTGAAACCTGTCTCCTTTGCCGCTGTTCCTGCTTTCTTTGGCATTGTGAATTTCCCAAGCTGCTCCCGTTTCAAGCACTCGTTTGTATGTCCCTGGGTCAGCACTCACCGTGGTCAGCTCAGGGGACCAAGCATTGGCTCAGAAAGCTTAAGCTTTCCATAGTGGTGAAATAAAGTCACCACATGTGACAAGCATCACATGTGGTGGGAAATTATTTGTTGTTCATACTTGTTTGGGGACAATTAAGCTGTGAGTGCCCTCTGAGTCGCTTTTAAGCTACCTAGAAATTTATTTTTTTAATAACCAAGACTACAAACTGATGTTCCTCAGTACAGAGAAGACATTTTTGTTTCAAGGATTATATTGATGGAAGTTGAGCTATGCCAGTAGGATAGTGTATGGGAGGGGGAAAGGAGCGAAGGGGTTGACTAGCTGAAAAATAAGAGGAACTCTAAAATTAGTTCTTCTTTTTAAGTAAATTTTATAGTTATTATCATTGTATGTTGCCTGTGCAGCTAGCATCTTTTTTTTTCAGCCCCAACTATTATATCCAGCAAAATTTTTTTTAGTATTTTTTTAATTAATTACACTTTATTCACTTTGAATCCCCCCATGAGCTCCTCCCACCTCCCCTCCCAATTCCACCCTCCCTCCCCCTTCTTCATGCATGCCCCTCCCCAAGTCCAGTGATAGGGGAGGTCCCCCTCTCCTTCCTTCTGATCTTAGTCTATTAGATCTCATCAGGAGTGGCTGCATTGTCATCTTTACCTACCGAGCCATCTCACCCACGCACGGTCCTTGTAAATTGGAATGGAGCACATGTTTCCATTTCCATTTGCAGACACACAGCAGAGAATGAATCTCCCCTTTTGTTCTTACTGTCCTCTTTCCACTCCACATCTCTATTTTCCATTTCACTTATGGGGAGATAGTGAGGAGGGAAGAAAATCCTTCCTCAAGCATAGCCGCGGCAGCAGTGGCACCGTCCAGGACAACACCAGGACTCCCTGTGTGCCGATGGTTCAGTGATCTTATCAGGGACACAGGAGGGGACTCTTCACATCCAGCATCCACAGACCACATTCTTTTATAACATGCTCTTTTTTTTTTTTTTTTGCTTCAGACCAATTGTTTGAAATAGTTGTTTCTTGGTATTAGCACTGCAATGGAAAGTGTTTAAATTTTTTTTTTGAGATTAAAATCATATCATTTTCTTCTTTCCTTTCTTCTCCCCCAAACCCTCCTATGTACTAGCCTTGCTCTTTTTCAGATTCATAGCTTCTTCTTCTTTAATTGTTGCTATACACGCACATATACACATTCCTAAATACACAAATACAATTTACTCGGTCCTTACGATGTTACTTGTATATAAACATATTTAGGACAACAGTGGAAATTTAGAAAGCAAACTTACTTGGCCACTGATCTATACAGCCATCTATTTTACTGAGTAACTGAATTTTGAAGTATGGAATCATTGGAAATAGCCTTTTCACTGAGTGCTGTTTTAGAGAAAGGATAGTTTGGGGATACTGACATCAGATGGCACATTAGTTTTGTGTTTGCTTAGCTCTCCATTGAAATATATTTATTTGTTCTTCTCATGTGCCAAGGATCGGGAGAACTAAGATGAACAAGGTGTGGTCCTCTCTAGGAGATGTTTCCAGACTGGTAGTAGACAAATAAGATGACATAGTGGGGAGCTCACCACAGATGACCACTCAGACACAGTGTAGAGCCAATTAAAAGTCTTTATTCCAGCCAGTGGGGACTCGCCCAAGTGTTTGGGGACCCAGGTGTGGCCCTGAGTGTCTAGAACAGTCCAGGACACAGGGATTTTAAAGACAGAGACCTTGTCTAGACATGTTGCTCAGCAGCTACAGGGGCCTTCTGCAGAATAAGAGTTTGAGGCGAGCAATTATTAACAGAAGCTAAGTTTCCACATGAACAGGCAGCTAGGATGAGCGGTTAGCTGGCAGAGGTTCCTCACGAACACGCAGTTCTAACAAAGGCTAGGATGAGTTGGCTAGAACATCCTGACCTTTGATCTTCAGAATAGAGCTGGGAAGCTTTCTATGGGACTCTCCATCAAGGGGATCTAGTTAAACCTGGAAACTGCCTCAGCAGGAATACAAGATGGAGGAACCTCTGCGCTGCCTTGTCCTCTCATAATAGCTCCTCTCCTGGAAGTCCACCCAGTGTGTAGAGTCAGGGAGAGGCAAGGTTACCCTCAGCCCCGATTTTCCTAATCACACCATCTTGGGGCTTCTCCAACTACTGCAGAGTGTGTGGCAATATTTTACAAACACAATTTAAAGGTCTGGAGATGACCAGAAAGGTCAGTCCATAAAGCGCCTGGTACTCAGACATGAAGAATTTTGTCCATATTCCCAGTGTCCACATAAAATGTGGGTTGTGGCAGTGCTATTCTGCAGCCCTACTGCTGGAACAGGAGTGTAACAAGGTCCCCAGAGCTCAGTGGCCAGCTAGTCTAGCCAATTGGTGACCTAGGTTCAGTGAGAAACCCTATCTCTAAATGTACACCCCCCAGCCCCAAACACACACACACACACACACACACACACACACACACACACACACAC